TCAACGCAGCCTGCAAAAACTCCCAACCCACTCGGTCATAGGCTTTCTCAAGGTCAAGCAATATAACCGCCACACTGTCCCCACCTCTCGTCACATGTTCAACTATTTGTTCCACCAACATAACATTGTGAAGAATCGGCCATCTAGGGACAAAACCAGTTTGTGAGGGGTGTATGAGGGAAGAGAGCACTTTTTGGAGTCTCATGGTGACCACATTGGCAAATATTTTATAAAGCACAGGCATCAATGTGATCGGTCTATAGTTCTTAATGTCAGTGCCATCCCCTTTCTTAAACGCAAAGGTAATAATTTCCTGCACCACCTGAGGCGGAAAAAAGGCTCCATTCCAGATCGCATGACATATTTGTAACAGTTCCGGTAGCAAGTGCAGCGAAAAGTTTCGAAAGAATTGTGCAGACAACCCATCCAAACCCGGCGTTTTGTGTAATGCCAATAATATGAGCGCATCTATCACTTCATGCATAGTAATATCATCCTCAATGTCGTGCCTTTGAATGTCAGTCAATTTCTTTTCCATTTTTGCCCAAACTCCATCATTGAATTGATGAAGCAACTGTTGCTCTATGTGTTGGGCCTGCGATGCCAACAAACTCTCATAGAATAAAGATATATTAGTTACAATAGCACCTGTGTCTGTGGCTAAGGGTGCCTGTTCATCAAAAGGATGTCGCATAGCCAGAATCAAACGTGGTTGGATGGGCGGGCGATGGCTGGCAAAGAAGGAGGCGGTCATACGGTCTCCTCGGACTAACCAACTGACACGCTTGTTATGTGTCATTGTCCTCATTGTTGGTTGGACCTGAAAGGTCCATCGTTGTTGTAGATAGTTCATACGATTCATGAAAACTCGCTCGTTAACGCCTGAATTGGTTGAGAGGTGCATAAGATCCTCTATCTCATCATTGATTCTTTGCAGCTCATTGTGATTTGTGGCCAGTATCATTCTTTTAATCAACAGTCCCCTCTGCAGCACAACGCGCTGACCTCCAACATACCAGTCAACCAAGGAGGGAAACAGGTGTTTAGAGGTGCGCCATTTTGGCCAAAATTCATACAAAAACTCAGCAAATTGTTGAGTTTGCACTACCCATTCGGGTAAGGATTTTCTGTCATGGTCAGATCGGATAGAAACACGAAGAAAAAATTCCAAAAACAACGGTCTGTGATCTGATCCCAAAAAAGAGATCTAACCGACTGGGAGGTATGTACTGCTGTTGAACAGCCCCCGCTGCAAAGAAGGTAAATCCTTTCTCAAAGGGATGCAACATTCTAAAAAGATCAGAAAAAACATTAAGGAAGGCAAAATCTAATAGTTGCAGTGCACATCAGCTCTTAGCTGTTCCACCCTAAGCGAATCCATCCCAGGCACCAATGTAGTATTTCAGTCTCCACCCAAAATAAGGTTTTCCACATCTGGGATTAACTAGGGTAATGATTTAAACAAATCAGCCCTTTTTGGCTGAGAGGTCGGCGCATACATGTTAAAAACTGCCCACTGTTCGTGAAAAACCTCAAATCGGACCCATGCCCACCTCCCAAATGGATCACATTTATAATCCGTGATGCGGAAAGGCGTGTGTCTGGAAAACAAAATCGCCACCCCATCTCGAGTGCCCCGGGCCGGAGCCCAAAATTACTCTCCCAACCACCAACCCCATTGCTCAATAATCGCTGCATCATCCAACTTTGTCTCTTGTAAAGTATTATCTGTACCCCTTTGTTGCGAGCCAAAGTCTTAATCAGCGATCTTTTAACGGCCACTCGTCTCGATCCCAGGCCTCGGACATTCCATGACACTATTCGTATTGAATCCATAGGCATTTACATCGCTGTCCAGTCCGCACATTTGAGCATGAGGAATTCGTTTGAGAAGATACTTTTGTGCCAAGGGACATGTGCATCCACTTGAGACAGCAAGGTTGTCGTCCAACAATCGTAAATTTGTGTGTCAACAGCAATCTGTCCCACTATTTTTTTTAACAACTGCCGCGAAATCCACCTGAGATCTGACAGTGGAGGTTGTCCTTTCCCTAGTGGGTCAACAATGGAGTCCAAAAAGGGAAAACACAAAATGCCAGTCCGACCTTGATCATTGGTCGGCGTCAGACGCACCCAGCCCATTGTCGGGTAAGAACGAACCCCGTACACAGGTTTCAACCATCTCCCAACTTCCATCAGTACCGCGTGTTCTGTAGGTTCTGTGTGCAGCTCAAAGTGCGGTAGGAACAGATGCCCTTGCTGTGAGTAAGCGGCCATGAGGTGGAGGTCTCCGTCCACAGCACAAAAAACCAACGGGATCACCACCCATGGTCGTCCAGCAGCCAGGGCTTCATGAATGGAGTCAGGGAGTGTGTTAGCTCTTTGTGGCTGTTCAGTGGATGCGTCCATAGTCTTATCCTTTTCAGCATCCCTCCATTGTTGGTCTTCTTGATCCATCAGCTGTTCCCACGGTGACGGTTGCAGTTCCAGTTACAATAGCATTGACACAGCCTGTGCCCCTACGAACGACACTCGCTGTCACTACTACTCCTGTTGCACTGATACCTGTGGGCTTGCAGCCTACAGGTGTGCAAGTGGGAACATCTTCTGTAGGACCGTCGATGTCGATCGTCGTGTCTACAGCTACAATGTCCACCACACATTCTCTGAACGACAAAAAAATTATTGACCAACATCATCCTCTGGCTCCCCACCCGGGGGCTGAAGAGCCTATGCCATTGGCAAAAGCATCCCAGGCAGTACACAAACAATACTAACGGGAGGACCGAAGCACCCTGTGGTAAAACCGTACACCGTGACACACGCAAGTCAGATGGGAAAATGGTTTCTTGGGCAAACTAAACAACATTTGCCTCAGCACTACATCCACATTCCTTACCAAATTTGAATTAAAAATCAAATACAAAAAATAAACACTAGGATAAAAATAAGAAAAATAAAAAGAGAATTAAAATGAGTGAGTGTGCCAGCACCTTTTCGACACCGCCATCTTTGTCGATTTTTAATTATTTTTTGGCATTGACAAATGCCCTGAAATTTACAGATATGTAGTTTACATAGTCAATAACTCGTTAAAATTTTAAAAAATAATAATAATTTTTTTTAGGACCCGAAATAAAGTGAAAACAAAAAGTTCAAAGTGAAAAAAAACAAAATAGTGAGTGGGCGAACACGTTTTGACACCCCCATCTTTGACGATTTTTAATGTTTTTTGGGCTTAGCAAAATGGCTTCAAAATTTATAGACGTGGAGGTCACATCATAGAGAACTCACAAAACAAACTTCAGAAAAAAACACTTATTTTTAGGCCCCGAAAAGTTTTTTGGCGGGGGCCGAACCTGGAGGCGTTCGGCCCCCGAACGGGACTCCGAACGCCCGAACGTTCGGGGGCCAGCCCGGGGGCCCTCGAACGTTCGGTCAGGTAACCCTGTATATATATATATATATATATATCGTCAACAGAACTGCCCGGTAAACCGTAGGCAGAGAGAGAGAAGAGGACAACAAACGAGGGGCTGTGACATACATATATATATGAGAGTCGGTGAAACTCCGACGAAACAGTTTGTCACAGCCTCTCGGTTGTTGTCCTTTTCTTTCTCTCTACCTACGGTTTACCGGGCAGTTCCGTTTGTGACGATATATATATATATATATATATCGTCAAATAGAACTGCCCGGTAAACCGTAGGCAGAGAGGGAGAAGAGGACAACAAACGAGGGGCTGTGACAAACTGTTTCGTCGGAGTTTCACCG